TGTTCTGAGAAACTAACAAGTGATTGTGTTCCGTGTTTTAACATTACCGTGTTCTGAGAAACTAACAAGTGATTGTGTTCCGTGTTTTAACATTACCGTGTTCTGAGAAACTAACAAGTGTTTGTGTTCCGTGTTCCCTCTAGGCTGCACAGCAGCACAATAAACAATCAACTGCCAAGCACTTAATTATTCCAGCTATGCACATCCTCAGTAATGATGAGGAATCTCAACAGGTTGATGGCCTTAATAATCGATGGTAGTCAATAAGCCTAAATCCCAAATATCCAAATGGTAGTAGCACTGCAAAGTGACCTAATGATTTAATAGGGTTAATAGTCTAAAAATACCCCCTCCTCCCCCAAAGAAATTCATTCTGCACATGGATTGAAAACGTTAGAGGGAACATTGGTTGTGTTTGAACTTTGCTCAAATGTGAAACAACTTTTTCATCATGTCTTAGGATAATTCACAGATTATTATACAAATATACATCATTGTTTGTTGAAGATTTAATAGAAGTAGTTAACATGTTGTAAGGCACATCACATTGTTTGTAGAAAGTCAATCTTTCGCCAATACTTTGTGAAATAAAATAATTTTTGGAGCTAACTCCTTAACATATTCACTTAATCCAAGCTTTTAAGCTTATTCACGAGTTCTTTCCCAGCCAAAAGACTATTTTAGTTGGTTCATATTCAAATATCTCTCGTCTTACAAAGGACTCTTAAATGACCTTTAAAGTTAAAATTAATAACATTGTGAAGTTAGCCTCAAAGCTTAATTTGTTAAATTTATTAACCCACAAGTAAAAACAATTACTTTTAGCCCTGCATTAGTGTTCTGTAAAAATTTTCTTGAATATTAAAACTTGTATCTTTTTTTTAACCACCTAAACTAAGTGTAACAATTCAACACAAATTAGCCAAATACTGAAGCTACTCAGAACAACAAACATGTACGTACTTCCACATGTTGGCTCTGATAGTTACAAGATATTTGGGGTCGGTCAAGACCTCGGAAGACTAATGCAGGGTTATAACTTGCTATTTGAAATAGTTCTGAAAAAAATTATTAACATACTTGGAAATTATATGTATGGTGTTTTGAGTTGTCTTTTACTCACAACAGTAAACCCATATTTATGTAGGATTTCAAGAATAAGTAGCATTGATGTAATATACACTCTCCAATACTATTTGAAGCCCAAGCTTCTTCTTTCGATTTGCCACTGCCCATGGTTACTGATGAAGAGTGGTATTCCACAAACCAGCATGACTCAGTATAAGTAGTGAATAAAATGACAGATTGAATTTCATGTATATTTTTAGTATTTTAAATGGCTTGTCTGCTGAATAAATTACAAGTATTAGTTTTACTTGTTCTTCAAATCCTATATAAACATGGGTTCACTGCGACGTGTAAGAGACAACTCAAAACACAATACGTATAATATACACTCCGCCATTATATGAAGCCTTGTCTTGTTATTTTGAGTTACCTTCTTCAGTTGTTACTGGTGAGGAGTGGAATTCCTTGAAACCACCATAACACAGTGACAGGTGGTGAATGAAATGATAAATTAGGTTTTATGTGTATTTTTAAGTATTTGGGAAGTACCAAATAGTATGCAATAATGTTTGTAAGATGCTAGAATATCCATAAATAATCATTCATAAGAGTCGTATATACTGAGTAATTGAAAGAAACTTGAAATAAATATTAAAGGCTATACACACACACACAATTATTTAGGGAGACGAAGATGCTGTAGAAATCATGGAAGAATATAACCCTGAGAAAGAAAAAATTTGGAGAGGTAAGAGTACTGACTTTAATTGTTGTTAAACTGATATATTTCAAACCAAGAGCTACTTCTAAAACTGAAAACATAATTATTATTTTATATTCCACAAAAGTACCCCCCCCCCCAAAAAAAAACTGGAGACATAATTATTATTTTATATTTCACAAAAGTACATATCTCTTCAAAAAAATGGAGACATAATCATAATTATTATTTTATATACCACAAAAGTACCTCCCCCCCAAAATAAAACTGGAGACATAATTATTATTTTATATACCACAAAAGTACCCCCTATCTCCCCAAAAAAAACAACAGGAGATGTAATTATTATTTTATATACCACAAAAGTACCTACCCCCTCAAAAAAAAAACTGGAGACCTAATTAGTTTTAATTCATATTTTAAAATATAATTTTTCCTGTGGTTACCACATGTTCAATATAAGCATTTTCCTATTACAGTAGGATTTCACAACCAGAAGAGAAATATTAGTATGTTTTTTCTGGAATTTTGGGATTATTTTGAAAGAGTTTTTTTGTAGTTTTTGGTACAAAAATGCATGTGAATGTCAAAAGAACAAGTTCAATACAAACTACAGCTTAAGAGGTTGCTGTTATAATTTTGCAGTAATTATAATAATTTGAACTAGGTAGTGAATTGGAGAATACAGCATGTGTGGTATCTGTTCATGAACAGTGACATAAAAAAAAAAGATGCAAAACTATATTGAATATTTTAGTAATAAGTGTTTGGTTGGGGGACAAAAGAACTTTAACAAACATGAACTTTTAATCCAGCTAGAACTGGACTGAAGTTGACCTGAAAGATTTGTTTTTCTGTATGTCATTCTACATAGATGTTGAATTGCAAGGAATGACAGGAAGTCCTAATTATACATGGAAAACGTATTAAAATTTATTGAGAAAATAACTATGAGATGAAAATGCCATGTTATCCTTGAGCAACCTCGATGTATATATGCTTACGATCATGAGACGTATTTTAGTCTGTTCAGAATTGAATGAAAGGACATCTATCAGACCTAGAAACATAAGTTAAATTAAAGGATGAAACATCTAGCATTGATGGGCCTTGTCAAACTTTAGATTTAGCATTGTCATGCTGATACAGAAGAATGACTCTGAAAGCTGAATGTATATGAAATTTAAATTCCAGAACAACAATTTAAGACAGCACAATTAAAGCTCGCTAAATTAATAAGATGAATTATAAATCATGGGCGTGTGATTATTAAAAATATTGGAAAAGAAAATAAGGTGAAACTTTTTAATTCTTAAATGATGAAAGATTTGTAGAAACTAAAACGGAAATGCATGTAATACATCCTGATTTTCTTGCAGTAGTTATAGCATTTCGTTTAGATTGAGCTGTAATGTTTAATTTACAAGATGTTCAGAAACTACACTGCCTCTTTTACATTCCCTGGTCTAACCCACCTTATTTTAATGTAAAGGCCCAATGTATGTATAGAAACAGAAGAATTTATCTTCTGGGGGAAGTATATGAAGACAGTTGTGTGATTCATTGACAAGCTTATCATTAGTTTGCTCTTCAGTAATTTGAGTTATTGGCTCAGTCGTTCACTCTCACCTTAAAAATGGATACCTCTGTTTTTAATTTGTTTTAGTTTTCCCAAAAATTATTATTAATGAGGGAAAAAATCCAAAGATATGTAAATGTTTATATCAATCACATTTACAGAGTTTCCCCCTAACATTAATTTGTTGAATGTAATAATGTGTTTGCATGTTATTGTGTGGTAAAATATATATGTTTGAAAACCTTACCAGAGCAGCACAGGAAAAATGTAAAAGCATACCACAGACAATTAGCAGAAGAAAGACAGAAACAGAAACAAACTGAAGAAAACAATTTAACTCAAGATGAAAATAAATTGGATATTAATGATGATAAAGAGTTGTGGGCTTACTTAGATGTTCTTGAAGAACAAGAAGATGAGAGAAATGAGATGTTGGAGTAAGTATAATGAATTTGAATCATATTACCTTTGCTAAACTCAAGTAACATAATAATGTTGATTAACTTATCATTAGTCACATAATTTTTTCAATAGAAAGGTAATTTGATCTACGTTTTTGTTGTTTTATGTAGCTTCGACTACTAATCGTGCCCGTCATGGCCAGGTGGATAAGGCGCTCGACTCACAATCTGAGGGTCGCGGGTTCGAATCCGCATCCCACCAAACATGCTCGCTCATTCAGCAGTGGGGGCGTTATAATGTGACGGTCAATCCCACTATTTGTTGGTAAAAGAGTAGCCCAAGAGTTGGCGGTGGCTGGTGATGACTAGCTGCCTTCCCTCTAGTCTTACACTGCTAAATTAGGGACAGCTAGCGCAGATAGCCCTCGTGTAGCTTTGCGCGAAATTCCAAAAAAACAAAAACAATCGACTACTAATCAAGGTAATACTTACCATATGAAGTATTATTTTGTATGGCAAAAAGAAACACAACTCTTTTAAGATGCTATTTAGTTAAATATTTCAGCAGTAATTATAATAATAACATACTGAATTAGAGAGCTGAGGTTCCAGGATTCACATCTTGCTACCTTAAAAAAAATTCTCTGCATTGTGGGGCAATTATAAGAGTGACAGTCAACTCCCACTATTCAGTCTGACAAGAGTTGACAGTGAGTGGTGTTGACTAGCTTCCATCTAATGTATCACTTCAAAATTAGGGATGGCCAGTGTAACTAGTTCTTGAGTAGCTTTGTGTAAAATCCAACAAACATACAAATAATTAAAAGCTAAATACATAAGTACTTGTCAACAAACATATTATTGAGTTGAAAGTAGTTGAAGTATTACGTTGAGTCATTCGTAGTTTGTATAAATTGTATCATTGTTGTGTTTTAACAAATTACAAATATCTTTAAGTGAAATAATATGTAAAATAATATAAAATTGAATTCAAAAAATTAACATGAAAAAAATCAACAGTAAACAATAATATGCTTAACCCTATTAATGTTACATATTACCATTTCACACCAGCAGGGATAGTATGTTACTCTTAATCGACTTTAGTATTCCAGGTATTAAAACACACTATTAACTTTGATCTTCACTAAACTAACAACATGTTTATGTGTCCGTAACATTACGTTTTGTTACAAATCAATTTCCTAAAATTGGAATATCAGAATATAAAAGCAAATAGGAATTAAATGAAATATTTAAGTTCTTCAGATAATTGATTCTGATACGAATAATTTTGTTTAGTCCAGTAACGTTAAAGAACCAGTCTTATAAATATTTGTGAAAAGACACTAATCAAGTGCATAAAAATATATAACTATATTTTACCTTTAAGGATATACCTGGATCTGTAAAATGTTTATTTTCCAAAACAAAAAACATCTCTATTTCAACGATATTAATGCAATTGATAGATAAACAAATTATAATCATTTTTTGTTCTCTTTCAGGTCTTCAGAGGAAGAAGAAAAAGATGTGATAAAAGAATCTTCTTCATCAGAAGATGATGCTGAAGATTCAGATGATAAAGATGAAGAAAAAACAAAAGTGAGATGGAAAGATGTGAAAACACTAAGACCTAACCAGATAACATTCTCGCATACTGCATCTGAATCAAATGTAGATGAAGATCTTCAGGTAATTAGGAAAATTTAGTGTAGTCTTTTGTGTGGGTTAAAAAAAATTCAGTGTAGTCATTTGTGTGGGTTAAAAAATTTAGTGTAGTCTTTTGTGTGGGTTAAAAAATTTAGTGTAGTCTTTTGTGTGGGTTAAAAAAATTCAGTGTAGTCTTTTGTGTGGGTTAAAAAAATTTAGTGTAGTTTTTTGTGTGGGTTAAAAAAATTTAAACACAGTTTTAAGAAATCAGGATATGAATTGAACGATGATTTAAAAGTTTTGTCTTTTTTTTTTCTATATTTGAAATTAATATAGTTGCTTTTCAGCTGCATGAAAGCTGTAATCAATTTTTAACTTATTTTATACATATATTGTAACTTCTGCGTAACCTTAAATCCATTGAATAATGTTATCACTTTAGCATTAGATGGGACACATTTTGGTGCATGTAATAATGTAACTCCGAGTATTGTGACTAAATATTAAAAAAAATCACTGAAGCAAAAAAAGAAAAGTTTTGTTTTGAAACTTTTCAGAGGAAATTATTCATTAGGAAGTAAAGAAAGATTGAAAGTTTAAAAAAATCTGTGATCTTTCCAAGTTGTTTAGTGAAAAGAAGGTAAGAGTAAAGGCTATATTTTTACTTAGCGATTTCACATTTTTCAGGAAACTGTGCATCATAGGGAAAACGAAAATAAAACTGACTTAGTTAACAGTCCTGCTGACATTTATAAGTATTTTGGAGTTATCTCTAAACCAAAGTCAATTCTAAAGACAAGGTCAGATCAGATTGAAGTGAAGAATGAAACAGTTATGTTCCCTGAACATGAATCTGTTCCTATCGTAAACGAAGAAGAAATGTTTCCTTTACCTAATTATCGACACAACAGTACTTCGGAAACGAAAGGTCTGCAACAACCATCGAAAACAGCAGAGAAAACGGTTAGATCATCATTATTGTATAACCACACAGAAACAAACATAACCTTATATTACTATGTCTATAATGTAAAGTTACATCAAAGCTGTGGCTGTCTTGTTTTTTCATGTGTTTATTTCTATATTATATAATGTAAACTAACTTAATGTTCCATTAACTACTCAAACATTTTAGTTTTCTTTGCATTCTAAGATCATTAGTTTATGGATTATTGGCTCTCTAACTACATATCAGTGCAGATAACAGAAGAACTAACATGAAAGATCACACTATTAATATTTTTTTTAAATATGATATACCTGAAATTATAATATACATATACACAGAGGGAGAGAGATTATAACAAAATGGGCAAATGCCATTACAAAAGCCAGTTTATATTTTTAATCGTACGGTAGTTTATTAGTGTGTTTCGAATATATTTCCACAAAATATTTTATCGAACCATGAAACATGCTGTTTTTCTTTCAGGCATTCACGGGTGAAATTGTAGAGAAAAGTAAGAATTCTGGAGATGTCGTTAACCCTGAAGAATCACCAATGGCTAGGCCACTTTCTCGTTTTAAGGCACAAAGAAAAGGAATGAACAGATAACAGACTTGATCTTATTAAAAATCAAGTTAAGATACTTTAACAGAAATCTTCAGTAAAGCTTTGATTTTTGTTATGAGAATTTTCGTGTTTATGTACATAGATGTATTCTTAATGAAAAATACCCATGAACTGTTGATCAACAATGGATAAGCCGTTATTTCATTATAGATTTTTGAAACTATTAGATTTTGATATTTCAAACAGATTGTTGTAAAGTTAAAAACTAGAAGTGTTTGTGAAAGACAAAAATACAGCAAAAACAAAAATAATAAATTGTAAAAGATAGTCTGAAAAATCTATTCGGGATTGATAAATAGCTGATAACACTGTACCATGATACCATCAACCATTTTCAACAAAAGAATTGTTATTAACTTACTTGCTGAGAGTAAGATGAACTTAAAGTGCTTCATGGCAGTTTACTAAACCTAATTATGATAACTCTGTGCCATGATACTGTCAACCATTTTCAACAAAAGAATTGTTATTAACTTACAAGCTGAGTAAGATGAATTTAATTAAAGTGTTTCATGACAGTTTACTAAACCTAATTATGATAACTCTGTGCCATGATACTGTCAACCATTTTCAACAAAAGAATTGTTATTAACTTACAAGCTGAGTAAGATGAACTTAATTAAAGTGTTTCATGACAGTTTACTAAACCTAATTATGATTGTAGTTTCGTATGTTAAAATGATAATAAAAAATTATTTTTATAAAATGGAGTTATGTTTGAACTTAAACCACAAGGAAACTTAAAACGTTTTTTTTATGGTGCTGAAAGTTTAACAGAATTTTTATCAATTTATTTCTTTACCCTTGCATTCACGAATGTTATGGTCACTTTTTTCACCTCTGTTGACTTGTACGTATGTTTTTTTTTCATTGCTGTTGGGAAGGTGGGAGGTGTCAAAGCACTGATTCTAGTTGGAAATAAAAATAGGTTTTTAAATACTGTTATATGATAAGTTTTATATGTAAGTAACACAATTATAAAACACGATCATTTTAACAATTACGTAGAGAAAGTTGCCCCCCCCCACCGGTGTGTCAGTGGTAGGTTTACGGACTTACAACCCTAAAATCCGGCGTTTGATTCCCCGCGGTGGACACGGAAGATAGCTCAATGTGGCTTTTCTCTAAAACAAACAACCAAATCAGAGAAAGTTCTTGGAGTTTCTTGCATAGATTAAAAAAAATGTCTCTCAATAACAAGAATTAGATTGTACAAGTGATAAATGCGCTACGATTTTTGAAATACTGTTCTTCTGTTGTAAAGATTGGCCTGGCATGATCAGGTGGTTAGGGTACTCGACTCGCAATCTGGCGGGTCGCGGGTTCGAATCCCCGTC